AAATGGAAATTAAATTGTATGACTCCAACTTGTTCCGACCTAGGCACTCTCGTCTAGCCGTTAGGTTGACACCCAACTAGAATCTAGCGCCTTTTAGAACATTATTTAAGAGTATTAATTACTTCTTAAAAGTATGTGAACCTTTAAATTGGGACGATAAAAATTAGAAAGTGAAAACCTTTAAGGAAAAATTCACATAAATAATCCCAACTATCATTAATCTTCTCATATTAATCCCAAATTGTAAGAAGTCTTCTCATATTGATCCGACATGACTTGCTACTTACTAATCAGGTAAACAAATCAATAAAGAAATTTTGTTTGTTTATGTTGCGTCTCTATCGCATATGATTATCTCCTTCCCACCTTTAATTCCATTTTGTTTGATTTAGGTTTTCGGTCAGGCTCAAATTGATCTTCTTTCATTCAATTTCAAATGTGGAAAAGTTATTTTGGTCCATCCCAACTCAAATTTGACATTGCTATTGATCACTGAGATCAGGACATCTGGGATGAAATGGACGGGCTGACGGCGACTCTGGGACGAAGGGCTGACGTCAAAGAAGAGTGCAACCGTGCAAGCTCTATTTTTAGGCTGAAAAATCATGAACAAACAAAAAGAAAGAGGGGACGTAGGCTGATGGAGGTGCCCGAAGAGTAAAAACTAAAAAGAAAAGGAAGAAAGAACAAAACAAAAAAATTAAAAACATATAAGGCCAATCAAAATAAGACATGTGGTTTGGGTGACCTGATTCATTCAGTTCATGTTGAGAAGATACCCTCTATTAGGGGTGGGCATAAAACCCCCACCGAACCGGTACCGAGCTGTCCCATAAGGGTACCGAACCGAATACCGGGTATTTAAACGGTTCTATAGATTTTTGTCCCGTACCAAAACCGAACCATTTGAAACGGGTACGGGACTGGTCCTAGATTTTGAGAACTGAAAAATACCGGACCGAACCGTTCGAAAATAATGCGTTTGAATTTTTGTATTTTTTCTATACCAATAGATCTCTTTTATAGACAAACAATTTTATTGCCCAAGAACGTATTCATGCGTTCCTAAACTAGCTAAATGTGTGTGTTTATATTATATGATATATATATATATTGTTATTTTTTCTTTTTAGAAAATTTATGTTATATTTTGATATGTATTGAAAGAATATTAAAATTTCATAAATCATTAAGGACTATTCATTTGATCATTTCTAGTAATGTAGTGTACATGACTTTTTGTAGTGTCATGTTTGCACAATTTTACAACTTAACTAATATGGTTCAAATCTTAGTTTTCAAGTTTTAACTACAAATTAAATTACAACTACGGAGAAATAATTAACCTAGAACGAAGAAGAACATTGAAGATTTCTATTATACGGAGTATTTAACAATTTGACGATATTCTTTTTTATATTTTCACATGAACTTAAAGAGTGTTTGGGGTTGCTTAAAAAAAGCATTTTTCAGCTTTTGGCTTAAAAAAAAGTTGAAAAGAGTGTTTTTAAATGACAACTTCGGCTTAAATTAATCACTTAAAAGCTAAAAGCTGGAAGCAGGTAGAAGGGTGCTTTAAACTGCTTCTCACTTTTTCTATTACACAAAAAGTACTTATTTTACCAAACACTACCAACTTTTACTTTTTTAGAATCATTTTTTTCTCAAACACTACCAACTTTTACTATTAATCACTTTTTCCCAAAATCACTTTAAAAATCACTTTTTTAAAGTTGAAGCAATTGCAAACACTCCCTTAGTAAATTAAAGATGATATTTATCTCGTGCGTCATCATTTTGCTATACTTTTTCTTAGTTGTGTTGCACTATTTGTGCATTTGTGAACTTTAGTACTACATATGCAATTTCTTGTATTTATATCAACATTTCATGTGAGTTGGTTGGTGTGAAGAGATATCTACTAATTGCAAGATTTGTTCAAAATTTTTAGCATGTATTTGGCATTGTACCGTACCGTTTTGTACCATTCCGAAACGGTATGGTACCGAACGGTTCCATCCTTGAAACCGAACCGTATCGGACCGTTAAAAACTTAATGGATACATTACGGGTTTTACTAGTTTACCGGACCGTTCCGGACCGCGCCCACCCCTACCCTCTATAGTCCTATAGATTAGAATAATTTGGAATGAGTTTTTTCCATTTTCAATCCCTTAATTATTGGGTGAGTGACACTTTTGATGCTCGACTTTCACTTTTTCCATATTTAGTCCTCGACTATTGTGCAATAGACATTTTTAGTCCTCGACTTCAATGTTTTCCACATTTAGTCCCCTGAATATTAAAAAATTGACACTTTTAATCCTTCCACTATGAATTTGACACAATAAATGGAGGACTAAAAATGTCACTATTATAATAGTTGAAGGACCAAAAGTGTCAAATTTATGAAAGTCGAAGGATTAAATGTGGAAAAACTCAAAGTCGAGTACAAAAGTGTCAATGACAATCGGAAGACTAAAAATGGAAAACTTCAATGTCGAATACCAAAAATGTCAATGATATAATAGTTAGAGGACTAAAAGTGGCAAAAACTCAATTTGGAATTAATATTGGAACTTAGACGAACCACAATAGGAGATGAATGATGTGAATTTTTCCAAACTTTAAACTGGAACACAAAACAAAGAGAATCTTTTATTATACAAAAGCAAAATGAAGACTGCACAGTGTTCCCGCCCAAACACTGTGCAGTAATGGGCCGGGTCGGTATAATATGGGTTCAGAGACGGGCGGGTGTGGTGACGGGATCTCTGGTCTGCTGCTTGCTTTGAATGGAGGACCAGTGTCCGATGCAGCAGTTTGAGTGGCTGAGAAATTATTTAATGCTCTGTACAATGAATGACTACTTTGCAATTTATTTTAAATTTTAAAAAGTGTGCAGACTTAAACATCACGCTGGACAATTGAGTTATTCTTTGAATAAAGTATTGTGCTCACATGTAAACAAAGAAAATCAATTTTGAAGATTTTGTTGTACAACTTTTTAGAGTCAAACATTATTTAAATTAAATATGTGGCGCATATCAGTTTGCAGGGTGTTGTCTAATCTAATTTCATGGCATCAAAAGTTGAACACTACATACTATTAACCATTGGGTAATTTGTCAAAAGTAATAAGAGTCATTGCTGATTGCAGTATAAATACAATTGAATTACAACATCTCACACCAAGACTATTGCATTGCAACGGAGGGTTGAAGGGGCCATAGAGAGCTTCGTTTGGAATCTGGAGCTGGGGAGAACTAAAAAACTCCATTAGATGTATATAATGTCCATGTTACAAGTCTTTTGAAAGATGCAGATATCCATGTCTGTGTTGTTTTCAAGTAAGGGTTGAGTGTAGCTAACATTCACTAAAAACGACAGTGATGAAATATATATGCTTCAGCGGATAATCAATGCCAAGCTACTGATTGGTATAGATATGTTCAATAGGTATGTGTGAGCCTTATGATATATACTGCGCATTTGTTAATTTGATACTTAAAATTGTTCTAATTTGCTAATTAGTGTTTGGCTATTTGTTCTTTTTGCAGGAAAGCATATGTATGTATGTATGTATGTCCACACACACATGAAGCAATAATATATATAACCTTTGTTTAAAACTCTAGATTCAATATATATATATACATATATACGTATATATATACATATGTATAGATATAACATATCTATACATATATGTATGTATGTATAATATTTCTGAAAAATATAATTTTTAAATATGATTCAGAGTTATCAAATATTATATTAAATTATATGGAGTAGTCAGGTTTTAGTGTTAAATGGTTAGCCTAAATAACAATCATATTTGCAAATAAGAGTTACTGAAATAATAAAATGATATTGTAAAAAGATTCATACCTGCGCCTTGATGCTAGGAAACTTTGAACCTGCATATCCTATTATGATCTAATTAATAAATTCATTTTCTTTATACATATTACTCCACATGATTGGCAACCTTAATAAGGTCCCAGAACCAATTAACTCAAAATAAGGAAAAAACAGCTCGGCCAATAAGATGCGAGAATTGGAAAATGTTAATTACAATATTACAAAATGTTCAATATTACAAAATGTTCAAGATATACACATGTTTAAACAGAGACATTATTTCTCGCAAAATACTATACAGTCAATGTTAAATCCAGATTTTACAATCGTTTACATTTGAAAAAACAATGGGTATACATCATATTTACGCATTCATACTATTCATAGATCTGGGTAGATTTTATATCCTCGGAAAAATATAGAGGTTAAGTGAAGTAAATAAATTTGTTAAAAATGTTTTTTGTTAAAATAATACAGATTTAGTCTACCGTTAAACATGCATGTTTATCACAAGAGGGTGCTTTGAAAATAGCTTTTCTAATAAAAAAATGTTCTATGAATTTAAATAGAATATAGAAAGTAAAATCAATTGAATTTAAAGTATGTTTGTCACTTGAGCAAACGATTTACTTTACCCACTCCAATCTTAAAAAACCATCAACATCTGTAATTACCGACAAATCTAATAAGAGACCTGCTTTTCTAAAAAAATGTTTGTCACAGTAAGTATATGACCTGCTTTTCTAAAAAGAATTAGTAGCATCTGCTCAAATCTTTACCATATTGGGTGTGTTTATACGAAAAGCATGAACATTGATAATCAATAGGCATGGACAACTTGACGATAAGAGATATATACCAAAGAATAACTAAGAGGCAAACGCATGGGCATTCGGTTTGGTCTGACGAGTGGTGAATTTCAGACTGTGGTGACCATACGCTTCACGAGAGACTTGAAGTTCAGTTGAACGGTGAGAAGCGAACCAGAGAAAGATTTTAGAAAGGGTGTAGTTGAGTTGATTTTATTTTAAAATCAATGTGAAACTCTATATAACATTTCAACACATACTTATTTTTCAATAGTTGAGTTATTTTTCTACTTATTCCATTACTACATATTTCTGAGTTTTCACTATCCGATCTTTAATTATAATTTATTATGACAATTGGCATTTATTTCACACGACCAAGTAATATTTACAAATGATATCATATCGTTATTACATTTTAATATCCCACGCATCGCGCGGGTGAGAATCTAGTAATTTAAACAACTAAAATGACCCAACGTCAATCTAGGCATAAGTTTGCATCAACATTTAAATACATACATAGCAATATATCGCTTAATAATCAAATAGGATTGTGACTGTGAGGTTTAATCAGAAACCTGCACATAGTACTCCACATTCCACAAGCAGTTCAGCACATTCAAATTTCCCGTTGGGCCGGAAAAAGAAATTAGACAGTAATACGGGCCTGATAAGCCCCATTACCCTGATGGACTGAAGCATCCAAAATCCTGCCAACCTCGAAGCAAACAAAGGCATCAACGCAGGCATACTGAATCTGCGCTGTGGATAGCCACTCCTGATCCCACCTTCCCATCGTCACCCATCTCGGCTTCACCATCTCCACCCCCAAATATCTCCTGGCCATATCCTTCAGCCCGACATTTCTGAGCGATCTGTCGTTAGCCTGATCCGCCGCCAGGTTCCGCAACTCCACCCCGTTCGTAACCGCCAGATTGTAGTCTTCCACCAGCTTTTCCAGATCTGCTCCGATTCCGACACCGACGAAGGTGTAGGACGAGTTGGCGAGGAAGCCGAAGAGTTCGTCGGGAATGGCGCTGCAGTAGAGAAGTTGAACGATGAGGCAGCGGTCGCCGACGGCGAGTTGGAGAGTCGCCACTGGGTTCTGGTCACGCGAGTAACTCGGCCGCCACTCTACGTCGAGACCGACGATGAGGCGGTGGAGACGGCCGCGGTGGATGCGCTCGATGTCGTTGATCCAGGAGACGACCTTGCTAGGTTCACATGTCACTAGGGTTTCGATAGCGCTTCGGTGGAAATTGACGGTAAAGAGATCATAGGACCCTTCGATTTCCACAATGCCGATATCCATGGTTACGGCCTTTCGCGGCCTGTAGGGTTTTGGTTTGGGGAGAAAGATGTTTTAGAGGAGGCTGAGGCCTTGATTTTGTAAGGTCATGATCATTATAGACAACCTTTTTGTGTGGAATTTTACCTACTTTTAGGCTTATCTGACTTCTAGCTAATTTTGTTTAATATAGGGTTGGAAGTAGTCCACGACAATCCAATAAACTAATAAAACCAGTAATATAGGGTACAATACATTTCAAAAGGTGAAAATCATGTCATTTTGAATCACTAAAATCAATATGAAACCATTTTAAAATTTTGGGTGTCTACACTTTTAAAACATGTCTACGCACACACGATTGTTCGTAACTAGACAACTCTATGGAGCCTTACATAGTTACTCCTTCCGTCCTGCAAAGATGTTTACGGTTTGACCTACACACATATAAAGGAAATAAACTTATCAGGGGTAAATTTTACTGTTTTGACATTATTTCGACACTGTTTGACACTTTTTGACACTGTTTTGCATTCTTTGGCACTGTTTTGATGTAGGATAATTTTCCATTTAGGGGAAATTGAACTTCTTTTTGGAACTGCTAAAAAGGAAAGTGAGAACTTCTTTGTAGGACGGAGGTAGTATTTGAATAAAGACAACTTGGTCTGTACACACAAGAGTGTCAAAGTGTAAAAAAACATGTACACCAATCGTTTTTCTAATAAAATTGGAAACGTCTTTGGGTTGGTTCAAATGAAACATCGATAAAATAATAAAAGAAAAAATAAACTAAATGGCAGGCAAGATTTGGATAAGTTTTCATTTTTATTTGGAAACATTGACAAGAATAGTCTCACCTTTCACTGGATTTCTCATAATAATCTCACCTTTAAATAATCCCAAAATAATCTCACATTTGCACTTCATCTTCTTTCATGGGACCCTGACCATGTTTTTTACTCTTTCTTTAAAAATTAAACAAATAATCTCACCTTTCACTTTTTAATTATATTCTTATAAATGTGAGATTATTTATATAAGATTTTTAAAAAAGGTAAAAAAAAACTTGGTCAGGGTCCAATGAAAGAAGATGAGGTTCAAAGGTTGGATTATTTTGAGATTATTTAAAGATGTGATTATTATGAGAAGACCAGTGAAAGGTGAAATTATTCTTGTCAATTTTTTCTTTTTATTTTTAAATTTGTAAATATTCAAACAGTGATACACTATACACACATCATCTTCATTAAATTTAAGTGAAGATATAACCAGAATTGATAGATTGTGATAGCATGATAGCACTAGCGATATATATTGGTGTAGAGAAGTGAGAGTTAGGGGTGTTTGGAACTGATTCTGCTTCCGATTACTTTTTTAAAGCAGGTGTATAATCAGAATCAGTTTTTTCAGAAGCTGGTCACCCCCAACTTCTAAAAAGATTGATTCTTGGAATAAATTAGACCACCAGGATCACTTCTACACTTTCATCCAAACATTCTAACTTCTGTTTCTGCTCCTTGAAGAAGCAGAAGCAGTTTTCTAAATCAGATCCAAACACCCACTTAGACAGAAAAGTGAGAACGTATATTATACATTATCTCCTCGTTACAAAAAAAGTATGGCAGCCTCTCCCTGAAAGTCCCTCCCAGAATCGACCAGGCAGTTATCCTGGACCCTAGGGAATGTAAGATGAGCTTTGATGATAGAACGAGAGTGGGGTCTCATCCTAAATCTTATCTCCTTACAAAGCTCCCAAAGCGGAGTATATATAGGCGAAATGTGGATTGGGCAGGCTAGACTGATCGTAGCGAATTTAGAGGTTAAACCCCGAAATGTGAATTATAAATAAAAATATACGGAGTATATGTTGGACATGGTTGGCTTCACCCATGGAAGCGAATATTGGACCTCAAATATTAGACCTCTCATCATGTTGTCAGGTCGATGAGGGGTGTCATCATTTTTTTGTTTTTTTGGACCTCAAATATTTGAACTCTAGTGGCTCCATCGTGGGACCTTTGGCAACCCGCTACCCGGCCTCTAGTGAATATTGTTGTCAAACAATAGTCACTAGATGAGAAAATTGCGTTCATTCTAGGGGTGGACCGGTTCCGGTTCGGGCCCGGTTCGGGCCTGGGCCCGGCCGGGCCTCGGTTCAGAAAAAGGAGGCCCGAGCCCGAACCGGTGGTGGGCGGTTCCGGTTCCGGTTCCGGGCCAGAACCGGGCCGGGCCGGGCCACCCGGAATGTTTTTTTTTTCTTCTTCTTCTCTTATTTAACCCCCTACCCCTCCCCCTCCACCCCAAACCACCCCAAACCACCTCAAATGGCCCAAAATACCTAATCCAACCCAAAACTTAAAAAAATTTCAAAAAAAAAAATTAAATTCCGGCCCGAACCGGGCCCAGCCCGGCCGGGCCGGTTCACTAAACTGGAGGCCCGGGCCCGAACCGGAACCGAACCGGTTCACCGGGCCGGTCCGGGCCCGCACAGTAGCGGGCCGGTCCGGTTCCGGGCCGGTTGGCCCGGCCCGAGTCCATCCCTAGTTCATTCCTATCATAAAATTGTCACACTAAATTTGACACTGATCACCGAAGGAGAAAGAGAAAGTGAAGACAATGAAGAAGGATGAGGATGAGGAGGGGAAGAGGGGAGAAATCCTGCGAGATGAGAAAATTGCGCTCATACCAAATCACAAAATTACAATCCAAAAGAAACATTCTAGGTAGTCTTACAGTGGCGGAGCCAGGATTTACATGTTACAGGGACCGGGGCTTAAAGAATTTATATAACAGGGGCCAAAACCTAAATTTTCACTATATTTTTACTGTAGGGTGTGTTTCGAAGAACAAAGAAAATTAATTAATAAAAATTACTTAAATAAAATGACGTAAAGAAAATAAGAAATGAGATGAAGCAGAATAAGCCAAAGCTCGTGCAACGCACGATTTCCTTAAAACGTATTCGTTGCCTCCCGGGGTGGTAGGAGCGTTGCAAGAATCGTTTCCCAGGATACGATGACTACAAACAAGCGTTTGAGCACTCAAACGAAAGTTCCAACGAACGTGAACAAAGCAAGAACACAGAAGAGTTTTGTGGAATGCTAGAGGTGTTTTTTTAGCCCTGAAAATATGTGCACGAAGTGTATGAACATGTGTCGTTAGCAAAGCACCTACTAGCCTTTTATAGGGGTGGATTATGGTGTGTTAATGGCTGTTTAAGGCTTGTGAACGTTGGACATCAATGTCCTAAACGTTGGGCATTGATTCCAGCCAATAAACAGCCCAAAACGTTCATATGAACGTTGGGACTTCAATGGCAGCATGCTGGCTTTGATTCTCCAAGCAAGCTGTCCAAACCCGCTGCATTAAGGTACAAAGACGTTGGACATTTATGCTGCAACGTTCCAGTTCAGCATGGAGCAAAAATAAAATAGGAACGTACCGGAAGAACAAAAATTACCGGAAAATTTATCTTTAGAAGATAAATTTTTGGACGGCATTCGTGTGTGCAGGTCGCCCGCACACGCAAGTCGCGCTTTTTGTTCTTCGGTTTCGGGATTTGATTCGCACCCCCCTGCGCGCGTGAGAAAGCCTTTCCCTTTAGGAAGCTTAACTCCTTAGGGGGGGTTTCCCTTTATAAAGGGTTCAAATTCCCTTGTGATTTTCGGTGTGGGAAAAACCCTTACCAAAACATCACATTTTCCTAGTTTTCTCCATTCTAACGGGTAAACTTCGAAAAGCGATTTCTCATTCACCCGTTATCCGTTTTGAGCGTACCATATATCGAATTGTAGCCCTAAGCAAGGACAATCCGAAACCACTTTGACCCGACCCAAATCGGAAGTGGACCCCGCTCAAAAAATTGCCCCAAAATGACCATTTAATGCAATTTAACACACTTTTTCCAACATTTACTACTTATAAATATTTATACATATATATACATCACAATTTTTTTCTTGCAGGGGCCATGGCCCCCGCCAGCCACCCCTGTCTCCACCCCTGTAGTCTTACCCTGTCTCCACCCCTGTAGTCTTATGACAGAAAAAACCTACTCCAAAAATATATTGTTCGTTTTTTACAAAAGAAAACTTGTTTTATACTTCGTACTACGTAAATGTATGGTAGAAAAGGAAATCACAAAAGGATATCTCGGGAGCATGACTTTTTCCTGTGTCACCGAAGAAATCTTGTTTCCCAAATGTACAGTAGAAATTGGTATAATACTTCGTACTAAATTATGAATAGCGTTTTCCAAACCAAAATCCATCTTGCATGGGGTTGCATTGCTACTAAAATCGCACTAGTAAGTTTAAGTTCATATATAGAGCTATTCATCAGTTATAAACAGAAAGCATTCAACAATGGCGTTTAAACTAATTTAAAAAGACGAAAGCAATAAACAGAATCCGGTCATCAATAATCATGAACAGATGCATTCACAACCCTACCAATCTCGGAACACACATAAGCATCAACGCAGGCATACTGAATCTGATCTACGTTGAGCGAGTAGCAGGCCCAATTGCTCATCGTCACCCATCTCGGCTTCTCCATATCCGCCCCTAGGTAAGTCACCGCCAGATCCTTCAGTCCAACATTCGCCATCGACCGATCGTTGAACTGGTTGACCGCGATTGTCCGGAGATCCACGGCATTCGTCACCTGCAGTCCGTAATCCTCATCGAGCTTTTGCAAGTCGGCGTGGATTCCAACGCCGACGAAGGTGTAGTCACTGTCGGCGAGGAAGCCGAAGAGCCTGTTCGGGATCTGGTGGCAGTGTAGAGCTTGGAAGATGAGGCAGCGATGGCCGACGCAGAGTTGGAGAGTCGCCACCGGATTCCGCTGTCCGCGGGAGAAAGTCGGGCGCCACTCTGCGTCGAGTCCGACGATGAGGCGGTGGAGACGGCTGCGGTGGATGTACTCGATGTCGTTGATCCATTCGACGACCCTGCTAGGGTCGGATGTGACTAGGGTTTCGATACGCCTGCCGTAGAAATAGACGTTATAGAGATCCGGAGAACCTCCGACATTGTCCTCAATCCCTTGCATCTCTGGATTTTTTTTGGGAGATCTACAGTATCTTCTTTTCGAGAGGTTCGGCAAGAGATAAAGTAGAAGAGGAGTGTGGGTTTTAGAAGGGGCT